CACATATTCCCCATCATATAAAAAATATGCATTCTTGGAGAAAAAATGTGCACCAATCAAGGGCTTCATTAACTTTTACCTAAATATGCTAAAAATGTGATTTTAATCTTTCCAAATAATGGCTAAATTAGTATTGATATTCTTTTAATTATGATTTTTATGAGAAATTAGGAATGTGTTCCTCACTTTTTCATGAAGTATGAAATCAACGTTCTAACCTTCGAAACGAGGTTTTGACTCTCCAACCTATTCAATTATGTAAAATTGGAACTTTGTCTCATGAAACATATTACTTTTAACGTTAAAAGGTCAAATGCCCTTACTAAATATCTCAAAAATCAAATGAAAAATGAAAAATAAAAAAATTGTCAAACAAATTAAAATAAAAGAAAATTATTATAATTTAGTTTTTTATTTTTTTAATATAAAGATTTTTTTACTTTTTAAACGGTCAAGTAACATATTCCGTCACATTGGATCCAATCTCATGTAATTAAATAGATTGGGGGTCAAAACTTTAATTTTGAAAATTGGAGAGCCAATTCCACACTATAAAAGGCTGAAGAGTCGAACCTAAATTTACCTTATTTTCAATACATATTTAACTTCTGAAAGTTTTTAATGCGTGATTTTCACATAATTGAAGGTGAATTTTTTACAATTAGATTTATAACTTACAAGTAAGATCAATTTGATAAAAACCCTGATGAATAATGCTATTCACCTAGTGTTAAGCCCTGATTTGATAATCATTATTTGAAAACTCTTTTTTCTACGTACTAATTTTCAATCACACATTTACATAATAAAATATTCTACACGTGAACCCAAATTTTTTTCTTACTTTTTAACCATACATTCTCCTAAAATCTATTATTCAAAACTTTATTTTTCCCAAATAATGGTTGTCATACAGGGGCCAAATTATCACGATTTAATTGACATTGAAATCTTTAACATTATTCGATGTCTAAAAATACATTCAAACTTCATTAGATGACGTGACAATGACGCATTACTTGAGTTAGACAGATTATATTTAGTCTAAATGCAAATTAATATATCAACCACATAGATCAATGATTATTTATACTCTAGATGGATAGCATTACTCGAGTTAGATAACTTATATTAAATCCAAATGCAAATTGATCTAAATGTCACAAATCAATGATCATTCCAACTTTAGATGAAGTGGCCTATTACTTCTACTTAAATCAACTTTTAGAAGTAGCAATACATATAGTTTACAATATAGTGCTGTTCTCGATTTTATATTCCGCAAGTGTACAGATCGTAACAAATAATCAAGTGGACATATGAGTTCGGATATCGTTGTCACGGGGATTACTATTTAATCTCTGGTTAAATTATTTCTATCTTCGATTTTATTTAAAACAAATAGAAAGTGTTTACTTTCTTTTTATGATTTTTTATTTTAAATATCTCAAAACAATAAAAGTTGAATTTTTTTAATAATGATTGAAGTGTTAGGATTTAAGAGTTCGCCATATCTATCCCCTTATTCTTAGTTACCAAATTCTATAACAGTTGATTATATTTATCTAGTCGAATTCTTCTAACATATTCGATTTATCTATCTCGAGTGCAAATTTATTCTATTTAACTAAGTTAATTTCATATCACTATGTGAATTCGGATATGTCTTAATTAGACGCATTAAATCTCTAAGGATCCATGTAATCTTAATTAAACTCATTAAATTTCTAAGAATCCATGTAACAACCGCATTAACTAGAAAAGATATATCTACACTTTTACACTAGTTCCTGATTTTTACTACGGGATCTAAACAAATAATCTACATCTCAACGTAATTATTGTTCACAAAAACAATGAATTAGTTGTCAATTAATCCAAACATTAAGAATAGAAGTAAAACAAATTCACAAATTCAATTGAAGATTTAAAACTTTTTAGTTAAAATTAAGGTTCAAAAATAGGTTACAATCATTTATCATAACTAATTACTTAATTATACATCATGGGAGAATAAAAATACAATAAAGAATTAAAGTATATAATCGGATATTAAGGAAAAAGGAGAAAAATGTGAAGATCTTGTACCAAGATTCCGCCTTCTTCTTGCAAAATCTTGAATCCTAACTTGTTGATTGATTTCTTTATTTTTCCTCCTTTTGGCTTGAATAATATAAGTACAATGAACCCTCCAAGTCTAAGCTTGAATGCATGTGTATAATGAAACTCTACAAGTCCCCCTTTTGTTGTTGGACTAAAGTATGTATTTATAGAATAAGATTTAGACAAAAATCTTTTTTCAACTTGATTTCCACAAAAAAAAGGTCAAATTAATTTCTACCAAATAATTTAAGAAATAAAAGGAAACCTCAACTTCTCATGTGATTTTAGTCATTCATCTTTTAAGTATATATCCACTTAGTTTACATATAAATAAATAAGAATAGAAGCTCGGATAAGCGCATAAACTGTACTTATTAAGTGTCATAGCAATTCTTAACTTTCAAACAAACTAATAAGAGCATTTTCAATGGTGATATAAAATTTGGCGTAAATTTATATTTCCAAAATGGCAAAACCACTTTTACATTTTCATTTTCAGCCAAATTCTTTTTCAATGGAATGATCTAAATGTGAATGTGGTCAGCTGGACTTTTGATAAATATGCGCTCACAAATCTGCTTTTACTCTTTTGTAGGCTGGCTACATGCCACTTAGCTCAAATATGTAAATTTACATATATCAGAAAATGCAATTTGCATCTCTTTCGTATTTCTCCGCTGAAGAAGTTTTCAACCGCTCAAAATCTAAATCTTTATTTCACATCATTATTGTAGATGCTCTAACAACTTCTATTTAAATCGATGTCACATTCCATTGTTTTTGGTTACTGTCGTTTGAATACTAGTACGATGATTCAATTCGTCAGTAGATTTTCTGGTTGTACCAGGTGTAAATCTGTGACAGACCACCCAAAGCCCAGCCCCAGTTGTAGACAGGTCTGTCTTTTATTGTAAAGCTAGTTCACACTTACTTTTTGGAAAAAAAGTTAACAAAGAATCACTTAAAAGTTACTTTTAATAGTTGGTAATTCAGCTTTTTGGACCATTATATGTAATCATTTCCCTACTTGTCCAAATGCTATCAAATGAATAATGCTATATTGACATTTTCTTGGAGGAAATTTGTGTAGTGATGTGATGAATGATTTTAAAATTAAGAGTATAGACTATGTTATATGGAAGAAAGTAAAAAAATAAATAAATAAAAGTATAAGGGCATCATGATTGCCATCAAATAGCAGTCCGACAAGGAATTGGATTTTAACAATCAAAGATTATCACAAACAGTGTTCCAAAAATAATAATAAAACAAAGAGAGACAAGTCGGCTAATGATCCACATAAAATTCAATTTCCCACTTCATTATCAATTTGGGAATTGGAATCTTTATTAAACTTCCACATATTCACACCAGATAAATATAACTTCATCATCATATATATACACATATATAGATACGACTTGTGAGCAACTTTCTTGATAGTTTAGAGCAGGAATATATATACATGGGGAACAACATAGGAGGAAGAAGAAAAAGGGCCAAGATTATGAAAATTGATGGTGAAATTTTCAAGCTAAAAATACCAGCAGTAGCTTTGGACGTGCTTAAAGATTATCCAGGTTATGTGTTACTGGAACATGAAGCAGTGAAGAGGTTTGGAATTCGAGCTCAGCCATTAGAGCCCGGACAGGAGCTCAAGTCCAATAGGATTTATTTTCTTGTAGACCTGCCAAAGCTTCCAGAGGAAAAGGTGCCTAGAAGGACAAGATCTGCTGTTGCTGTGAGCGCCAAGGACAGGCTTGAATTCCTCAAGTTAAAGCAAAGATCAGCTTCTCATCTTTCTGTCACGAGTTCCAGTACAGGCCCTGTTAGGGTTAAGATGAGGCTTCCAAGGTCCCAGATTGAAAAATTGATGGAGGAAAGCAGAGATGAAGTTGAGATAACAGAGAAAATTCTTGATCTTTGTTATCAGAATTCGGACAAAGAGAAGGCTCAGTTGAGGACCAAGCTTCGGGTACTCAGTTAGTGCTTATGATTTTTCAATTAAGATACACGTACAGGGCTACGGGAAGCACAAGTGCACAACCCATGATTTTTCTCTTGTTTTTTCCTTTGCTTACACAGATAATGAAGAATTTGTACATAATTGTGTCGGGTTTCATAAAGCAAGCCAAAAAGCTACTTGCAAAATTCGGTCCAATCTTTTTACGTTGTATCAGTAACATGTTTTATTAAACACGAAGGTAAAACATAAAACATAAGGAATTACAAGTAGGATGTCCGGCATGTGGTTCGGCCCACCCATAACCAGCTCGGCTCGAGGCTCGATTGAGCCTTATTTTTGGACATCGATCCTAGACCCGGCATCACTCATAGGTTGGCCAAATTAGCTCATGACATGGGCCATCACATGCCGATGAACATGAGGCAGACATCTACAATTTGCGTGGGGAAAAATTCACAATTAAGGCATTAACTATGCACAATTCAAAAATCAAGTTTTAAGTTTAATTAATGCAAAAATTAGGTATTTATATATTAATTAAATATATTTTATCAATTAAATATAATAAAATCACAATTATATAATTAATGGTCACGGGTACATAATCATAGGTCACAACTTATTTATTGATCACGTGTTAAAAAATTAATTGATCACAGATTAATTCAAGATCACAAATAAAAAAATTTATTGGTCACAGGCAAAAAAATTATAGGTTACAATTTATCAATCAGTCACATATTTTGAAATTTGTTGGTCAGAAATTATCGAATTTTAAGGTCACAATTTATTTTATTGGTCACCTATTAAAAAATTATAGGTCACAATTTATCAATCAATCACGTATTTTCAAATTTGTTTGTCACAAATTAT